TCGCAATGGGTGGCGCGAAGAGGCTATCGTACAAGGGCTGTTGCGACTGCTGTACCACAAGGCTCTTGCAATGGATGGCCAAGAGGCTACAGCAGTATCGCGAAAGACTTGTTGCGACTGCTGCACACACCACACAAACAGCAGATACTCCCGTACATGTACCTTGCGGCCGAGGTTGTCGAACACGAAGAGCTCGGAGACCTTGCCGGTCTTGACGTCTTCTCCCGGCCGCCCGAGCCCGACGTTCTGCCCCTTCTTCAGGGACCCGGAGTGGATTCGCCCGACCCCGAGCTTCCCCTTGAAGTCGTCGTAGTCGATGTTGGCCACCAACGCCTGGGCGGGCGGCGAGGAACAAAAAAAAAAAAAAAAGAAGCGACGTTTGGTGCGGCGGCAGACATGAAGAGGAGGCAGACTATTGCTGCTGTTTGTTGAATCCGTCGACTTTTGCCAGAGGCGTTTTTTTATTGTGTAGTTTACTACTCGTGTTTGTTGAAACCGTCGAATTTGCCACAGGCATTTTTTTTTCTTGTAGTTTGGGTTATCAGATTTGGTGGATCCCTTTGAGAGTGTTCACTTTCTCGGAGGGTTCGCGCATCAGGATTCTTATCAGGTTGGATTAGGAGGGGGGGGGGGGGGGGGCTCATAGCCGTGCATGACGTATTTAGTCGCAAGACCATTGACCTCGCGTAGGTACCTACACACCAACCCGGGACGGAGCACGCCGGGTTTTCATCGGACCAGGTAATTGCATCACATCACCAAGCGCCAAGCGCTGTGACGTATCTAGGTGACGGGAGGGGAGGGGGCAAGGCAACCGCACCGACAAACTTACTTGAAACACACGAGATGGCCTCGCTCAACATAAAAAAAAGAACCCATGTTCGCGGTAGTGTTTTGCATCATTCGCGACCCGTCTATTTCTCTCCACAAAAAGCATTTGCAGGGCGGTACGGTACAGTACCGCAGTAGCGATCTCGTGCACCTAAAAAGGAACGCACGGGTTGGAATGCCCGAGGAGTGCCGAATGCCACCAACAAGCGCAATACCGTGAGGTTGCGAGTCAGCGCACGGGGGTGCGATCGATGTTCAAAGCGTAATTTCTCCACAACCTGGAGGGTGCGAGCGCCAACTGATACTTCTCAGGAAAGCTCTACATGAGATATTTCCAAAACCGCCGTTTTCGATAGTGGTGACCTCCTGGTTGTGGACAAATTACGCTTTGAAAATCGCTCGCAATCCTGTGCGTTGACTCGCAACCTACGGCATTGTAACCAGAGAGAGAGAGAGAGAGAGAGAAATACTCACCCGGAGTTCGCGTATTGAAAAAGTCCGTACATCTTACAAGACAAATATGGGAATGTAGGCATGACTTTTTCTTTATTTTTGGGGAAGTAATACCTAACCATATATACACAACATCTAAAGGTATACTGAAAATCGACTGGATTTTTTTCGTTGCTGTTCCTTTCACAGTAAATACATAGAAAAATAACTACTATGTATACTATTGGAGGATTTGGAAGGCAACTTACACGGTGGTGCGGACGTAAAACAGCAGGCGAAAACAACGCCTGTAGCGGCTCTGTTTCCTTTACGAGAGGGTTGGGCATCCCCATGATTCTTCACAATAGCAACAACTTCAAGTAATATTAAAGCTTCATGAATTACTTTGGGGTTAGACAAGTTACACGGTGCTTCTGGGATTTTCGTAAGTCAAGCTAGCTACACCGTGGTGCCTGCCGCCGGCGCCAAAACAACACCTGTAGCGGCGCCGTTTCCTTCACGAGGGGCTTCGGCATGCCCATGATCGCCTTGAACAACGGCTCCATGTTCTCCTCCATTTCCTCGGGCTCGTTGCCTGCGATGCCCTTGATAGCCGAAGTGTACACGATCTGCGGCAAGGCGAGCACACGCATCGAACACAAACAAATAGAGAGGGGGGGGGGGGGGGGGTCGAAGTA